TTCGACCAGGCCTCCTGGTTGCTGGACTGATCAACCAGGCTGTTGGACCTTAGTATGATAAACTGACGTCACCAAGACCGCACACGAGTCAAAATATGCTCCCATACGCTACCAGGGCAAAAAACGTTCCCTATATGAACACTAGAAAAAAGCTTAAGAGTGGAGTCTCAGTGCAAGACAATTGCCAGCTCTTGCCACACCCACCTCCAGTGCCACACCCACACCCCCTCACGAGCCCCCTAGTCTACAGGCCCCCCCCTCCCCCCACACACACATGAAGTGCCATTTACCTCTTAATAACTATTATGGGTTATGAATCATTTAGCAAGTATTATATATTAACTACCATTTGCAACTAAATCGTTCAAGATGAATGTTTGCTGTATCTTCATTAACTATATTGCCTATCTACGCAATATATCTCTTGCTAAGAATACAACCACACCCATCACAAACTTTTAATGGAAATACAAATCTCTTTTAACAAGACGCGTATAGCGTGCTCAGGAGTTATTTGATTTGTGTAAATGACAAACATAAGTGATTATTTTCATCCCTCCTTGTGAGGCAAAGTTACAAACAAAGGCGCAGCAGCGCGTACCCGGGGACGCCGGCGGTCCAGCTCTCTCACGACACCGCGCGGGGAGATAAAGGAAGCTGCTTAGTTCTCACAGCTAGCGCAAATTACACTCTCCAATTGTCCCCGGGTCATGCAAGCAACAGAGATGACACGAAGGGCTGTGAGGCAGACTGGCAGTGTTAGGGCTGGCCGCCACCACTGCTGCTGCTGCTGCTCCGCCAGCGATCAACACCACCAGCCCCTCTTAATAACTTAATGCATGCTTGTTGACCAATCCACACACTAGAAAATGAAGGGACGACGACGTTTCGGTCCGTTCTGGACCATTCTCAAGTCGATTGTGAATGGTCCAGGACGGAACGAAACGTCGTCGTCCCTTCATTGTCTAGTGTGTGGATTGGTCAACATACTTCAGCCACGTTATTGTGACTCATCGCCTGCATATTAATGCATGCTTCCTCAAAGACGTCTCACACTTACTCTCACACCTAGCTACATACTCATATAGTGCCAACACCACATGATAACAACAACGTGCCTCCAACATTTTTACCACAAATTTAACGAGAACAAAAAAGTTGAATTAAGTAATCCAGCTCATCAACAATGAAGAGAACGGGGCCAGAATAAATTGAGTCCCATTGATGCAAATACCCAGTTTTGTTATAGTTTCGCAGCTTTACTATAATCTTTTTCTTGCCAAAATATAAATATGATTGTATGAAAATACAAACAATACAATATTCACTCATTCTTCAAAGAATGAGAATTATATATATATTCATATATAATATATATATTATATATATATATATATATTATATATATATATATATATATATATATATATATATATACTGCCACTTGGCGAGCCAGGGTTCGATGCTTCATAGGAGTAGTAGTCAATTTCTTCTCTCTTCAGGAGAGAATAAAGCGACCAATCAACAGAAAGAGAGCAGAGAGATACTCTTAATTACTAACGGGAAGGGGGATACTCTTAGCAATTAACAGTCTTAACTATTAAGATATTACTGTCACAAAGAGAATGATTGCTAAGAAGCCATTTCAATCCCACTTAAGTGGGATCCGTTACACGAGCTGTGCGCGGAGTGCTGGATGCTGGCGAACCCCTTCCTTGATTCTCCTGCTGATTTAAACAAATTTATTGCAAGTATATTGTGGGAGGACACAGCTGAGCAGAGCTGGGTATCACTTTTCTGGCTGAGACAATATTTGCTTGGTTATGTTCCCTAAACGTTAGGTCGTCCAACATCATTATTCACAGATCCTTTACATTCTGCCCAGCACTTGACAGGACAACACAGCTGCCCAGCACTTGACAGGACAACACAGCTGCCCAGCACATGACAGGACAACACAGCTGCCCAGCACTCGACAGGACAACACAGCTGCCCAGCACTCGGCCAGAACAACACAGCTAAACAGAGCTTGACAGGAGGACTCTGCCTCGCAGCGCTTGGTAAGACGACACAGCTGGACTCACAATGAGAGACGCATCATGACACGGTTTTGGACTAGCTAATGACATGCAGTATTATGACTCAGGGGTCTTCTGAAGGCCACACGAGATGGCAACCACTTCCCTTAATTTATCCAACTCACCCCATTAATAATAATAATATGTTTGGGTATGATTATTATTATTCAATATATACCCTTCTATAAGGATATAAAAGTTCTGGGTTATACACGATCCGATCGCAGCCGACAGAGGGAGATATTCTTGGTCCTCGGAATCTGACTCCAACACTATGAAGTCCACACCAAAACAAACATGTCTTCCCTTCTGGGTGGGTGACGGATGTGGGTGGACGTAGTACATGGTGTGTGGTGGGGGAGTATAGGGTGTGGTGGGGGAGTATAGGGTGTGGTGGGGGAGTATAGGGTGTATATGGGAAAGTGGAGGGGTAGGTGTGGGAGACTGGTGCGGTATGTGTAGGGGAGGGTGTAGGTTATATGACCACATGGTGTTTGAATATGCACGTGGTGGGGGTATATGTAGTGTGGGTGTATGAGGGGTAGGGGGGCCGACCTATAGCTAGCTGGTGGTGGATTACTAATGTGACAGGTGTTCGAGGTTGTGAGTGTAGCGGGGGGGGGGGTGGCAGTGATGGTGGTGGGGGAAGGTTGTGATGTTTGAAGGCGGTGATAGGTCACAGCCAGACCTAGCCTACAGCTGGGTCACAGCCAGACCTAGCCTACAGCTGGGTCACAGCCAGACCTAGCCTACAGCTTGGTCACAGCCAGACCTGGAGCCACACCCACACCTACTTAATCACAATTCTCACAACCTTACCTTTAACTACATTATTTCGCTTCTCACTGTGTCTCGATAGCTTTGTATTACACAATATTACCCCCTTCCACTTTCTATCTCACCAAATAACCCCAAACCCTCATCCCAAGAATCCCATTCACCTCCTTTCCCATTCCACCTCATAATACCCTAAGTTTTCACGGCTACACATTCCCCGCCGCCCCACCCCCCTTAAACCCTATAACTAAGTGGCACCTAAGGCCACGGCCGGTTATTTTGGTGTGGTATGACTGGTGACTCACGCGCCCTGGCACGTGCTAAACAGCTGATGCTCGCTACCACCACGTGCACCCTACCCGTCCTACCACCCAAAACAAACCACACCTCCGCCCTACCTACCTTGCCTTACCTTGAGGTTACCTACCTTGCCTTACCTTGAGGTTACCTACCTTGCCTTACCTTGAGATTACCTACCTTGCCTTACCTTGAGGTTACCTACCTTGCCTTACCTTGAGGTTACCTACCTTGCCTTACCTTGAGGTTACCTACCTACACCCGCCCTACTACCTACTTACCGCCATACCTACACCAGCTTCCTGGCGCATCGAACACCTCTCCGCCTATCATGCCTCATATCTCCCACTTAATCACAACTCGGCTAGACATAGAGCATAGAGCAGGTTATACGAGGGCTCTAACCTAACGTGGAGTGGAGATACACAGCCTCTGCTATTCTTACTGGCACACGACTCAGAACTTGGTCTGAGCTGCTCTCAGAACTTGGTCTGAGCTGCTCTCAGAACTTGGTCTGTGTTGAATTTACTACACCAGAGGGCAATTTATACCGGTGTTCTACGACTAAGTAAATAGAGCCCTGTCATAGGCTTGTACTGTATGTACTAAATTTAAGTTCCACGCCATTACTTCCTGTGTGTGTGTGTTTACTTACCTAGTTGTGCTTGCGGGAGTTGAGCTCTGGCTCTCTGGTCCCGCCTCTCAACTGTCAATCAACTTGTGTACAGGTTCCAGAGCCTACTGGGCTCTATCATATCTACACTTGAAGCTGTGTATGGAGTCAGCCTCCACCACATCACTTCCTAATGCATTCCATTTGTCAACAACTCTGACACTGAAAAAATTCTTTTTAATGTCTCTATGACTCATTTGGGCACTCAATTTCCACCTGTGTCCCCTACTGCGTGTGCTCCTGGTGTTAAATAGTCTGTCTTTATCTACCCTATCAATTCCTCTGAGAATCTTGTATATTGTAATCATGTCCCCCCCAACTCTTCTGTCTCCCAGTGACGTGAGGTTTAATTCTCGTAGTCTCTCCTCGTTGCTCATACCCCTCAGCTTGGGTACTAGTTTGGTGGCAAACCTTTGAACCTTTTCCAGCTTAGTCTTATGCTTGACTAATATGGACTCCATGCTGGAGCCGCATACTCCAGGATTGGTCTTACATATGTAGTATACAATGTTCTGAATGATTCCTTACACAAGTTTCTAAAGGCCGTTCTTATGTTAGCCAACCTGGCATATGCCTCTGATGTCATCCTCTTGATATGGGCTTCAGGGGACAGGTCTGGCGTGATATCAACCCCCAGGTCTTTCTCTCTCTCTGACTCTTGAAGTATTTCATCTCCCAAATGAGGAGATGAAGGGAAGAAAGTTGGCGAAAGAGGGGAAGGGAAGAAAGGTTTAAGTTTGAGAGCGGAGACATTGCCTCACGTGTCCTTGACATTATGACAGCGAGCAGTGTCAGTCACCCTGACCCACTGGCACCACCTTGTCATAGTTCTCCCTGACACGTGTCATCTGGGCCTATTTAATCATACCTAACATTCTCATACACATTATTTAACGGCCTCAATGTACATATAACACACACACAGTGTGCGACTTTATCGAGGACACACAGTGTATTATTATATATATATATATATATATATATATATATATATATATATATATATATATATATATATATATATATAAAAAATATATATATATAAAATATATATATAATATATATATAATATATATATAATATATATATAATATATATATATATATATATATATATATATATATATATATATATATATATATATACACACTCACACACAGTTGTGAGGGTACCTCGTCTGTTGCAATTGTAGGGACCCATAGTCTCGGAGAAGACTCACCTAGTTGCTTCCCTCCACGGAAATCTTTAGTAAATGGCGAAACATCTATGCGTTTTGAAGGGAACCTCGGAGAAGAAAATAAAGAGTATTCAGAGGAAACCTTGTGGATTCTCACAGAACGCTTAATATTTTAATATTTTCTTCTTCTACCAACCCTATTCTTGTGTATATATTTTAAAATACAGTATATATATTTCGTTGAAAACGAGTTTCATTTATGATTCTGGCATGAATCATCTCGATATTCCTTATGTTTTTCTTCACTGAAGCAGGAACTTGAAAAATTAACTCTCCACAGTTCACTTTTTACTTTTTATTTCAGTCTGACGCCTAGTGATACGTTTCGTAAGATCTCTCCTCACATTCTCAAAGACAAATTCTACTAAGCTTAACACCTCGTAATATTCTCTTATAGTGAGGTGGTTAGGTGATATGGATGAATGACATTACATGGAGGATATTGATAAGTATTAAATATATCAACAGTGTGAGACATGTTGGCTGCTTCCGTTCTTGTTACAGGGTCATTCGGTCCAGCTTCTGCGTTGGCCCGGGGTCTTGAAGTGGGTATATATATATATATATATATATATATATATATATATATATATATATATATATATATATATATATATATATATATATTAGTATATTTTGGTAGCAGTCTTTCCTGTAGACATACATTATTAAATATGACCGAAAAAGTAAGATTAATAATTCTAACACGAATTTTCTCAATCTTTCGTACATTTCTTTTCACTGTTGGAGGTAAATCAAAAATCAATTCTCCAAAATTCATTTTTATTTCTAGTCTGACGCGACACGAGCGCGTTTCGTAAAACTTATTACATTTTCAAAGACTTTAGTTTACAAATACACAACTGAATAGAACTTACGCATCTCCGATTTTATATCTACATTTTAGTGAGGTGGATGGGGTGAGGTGGCATTAATAGGGTATTAATTTCATCAACACAAGACAGAACAAGAGGTGGCATTAATAGGGTATTAATTTCATCAACACAAGACAGAACACGAAACAATGGGTATTGAATAGAAGTGTATGTAGAAAGCCTATTGGTCCATATTTCTTGATGCTTCTATATTGGAGCGGAGTCTTGAGGTGGGTAGAATATAGTTGTGCATTAATTGGCTGTTGATTGCTGGTGTTGACTTCTTGATGTGTAGTGCCTCGCAAACGTCAAGCTGCCTGCTATCGCTGTATCTATCGATGATTTCTGTGTTGTTTACTAGGATTTCTCTGGCGATGGTTTGGTTGTGGGAAGAGATTATATGTTCCTTAATGGAGCCCTGTTGCTTATGCATCGTTAAACGCCTAGAAAGAGATGTTGTTGTCTTGCCTATATACTGGGTTTTTTGGAGCTTACAGTCCCCAAGAGGGCATTTGAAGGCATAGACGACGTTAGTCTCTTTTAAAGCGTTCTGTTTTGTGTCTGGAGAGTTTCTCATGAGTAGGCTGGCCGTTTTTCTGGTTTTATAGTAAATCGTAATATATATATAGTAAATATATATATATATATATATATATATATATATATATATATATATATATATATATATATATAATGTCTCTAACCAACTTGTTTTTATTCTGCAAGCATATTATAAATGTTCTTTTATTCGGCCTAATTGTGTGCCCCGTTTATACTGTTACAAGGGTGCAAAACACCCTGATCAAACCTAACGCAGTGGTCTACCTCGCTGGCACACAACCGCAGGCCCTGGGTACGACACAGATGGTTGGGAATTGTTTTTATTTGTAACCAAGACAAGGGATCATTAGGTGATTTCCTAATGAGCATGTGGGTTGCATCCTGAGAAAGGTCAGCAGGATGGCCAAGGGTGTTCTCGATAAAGTCAAGTGCAGGCTTCCTGTCCCTGATAACGGGACACCACATGTCCTAAATAAGGAAAAAAAACGCCACTAACATTATAACAGATATAATGACAACCCCACGAATGGAAGGATAACAGTAATCGGCCTTACGCAACAGACAGGCAACGGATTGATCAAGCAAACGGAAAGAAAACGTTGACCGTTTATCAACCCTGCCGTTACCTTGCGTTGATTTTGGGTGTCAAGGTCCCCGCGGCCCGGTCTCTAACCAGGTCTCCTGGTTGATGGTTTGGTCAAATAGGCTGTTGGACGCGGCTGCTCGCAGCCTGACGTGTGAATCACAGCCTGGTTGATGAGGTGTTCTCTGGAGGTGTTTATTAAGTCCTCTCTTCAACACTGTGAGGGGTCGGCCAGTCATGGCCCTTAGTGGAAGAGTGTTGAACAGTCTCGGGCCTCTGTTGATCTGTTGAGGTGATCATCAACAGAACTGTTGACACCAAGTATTACAATAGGAGGTTGGGAGAACAAAGAGGGCAAATGGGGGGGTTGGGCAAAGGGCGATAACAGGGCGAGGTAATGGAATAAGAGCCGAGGTGTGGCAGGCTTCCTTGACATTTACGGAGTTGTCGCCGGCACTTGTGGGGGGTGGGACACACCCCTCTCCACGCCCTCAGTGGTGGTGCACGCACACACGCACACGCACACACCCACACCCACACACCCACCCTTGTGTACATAGGCTATCCTATAAGTCTGGAACCATGTCCCCTAAATCTGAACCCATCACTCTTGACACCATTCGCCGTGTACCTGCTGACTGGATACTTCGTTTTCGTTTGTATATCATTGGTTGACAAAATATCCTAAGAACAATTAAGGCGCACTATAAACATTATAAACAGAAGACATTTCTACCTCCTACTAACGAGTAATTTCAGACCCTTGTTAAAGAGTGGCCCTGGCCTATATTTCAGCCCCTTTACGAAAAGTGGGTATGTTTATTCATACTATGTTTTACCTTATTTAACTATTTACAAGAATCAGCAATGGGATCTGTGACAATTCTAGCGTGTAAATTATAAATTCTCGTAAAGCAACATCCATGACCTAGCGTGTGTGTGCGTGGTGCCTTAATTAACAGACAGTCACCTCGCTGCCAAAGAAGAGCTCATGAAAACGGCCACAAAACACAAGTCTTCAGCCCTCAGTGGCGTCACAATACCCGTGGATCACTCTCCTCCTCCCCGACCCACACCCTCCCCTTCACTGCTTACCAGTTCACCATTAGCCACAATGTCTTCTCACACATCCATACATTAAAACATTGATTGTAACCATGATATATATGTGCTTCAGCCTACATTTTAGACTTATTGTCTTATGTACGACCCTCTGTCCTGCGTGACAGTGAATACCAGCATTATCCTCACTTTAATAAGACTATCAAAATCCTCAGATTAGGCAAAATTGTAATTAATTTTGTCAATAAAGATGTTAATAATAATAATAACCATTAGCCACAATGTCTTCAGCTTTTCCACATCTCTCGGTCCAACAACCACCCACCAAATATTTAGCTCCTCGCTACTTTCATTAATCAGCCCCAACTTTCTCCACTTCTCAGGCCCCTCCCTTCCTCGACTTTTTCACTAGATGACCGCAAGGCCCGTTGTCAGGTTTATCTCCAACACTTTAATTGGCTACCTTCTGTAGGCTATTTGTGTTTGATTTCATTTGTGTGAAGACTTACAATCAGGCCTACACATACACACAGTTCTCAAGAGGGTTTAACCCTGTTGTTTTCTATTATAGTCTAGCCACCAGTACCGGTACTTGCCTCACATTCAAGAGGGAAGATAATGGAAGTGGGTTAAATACCAGAGGGGATAGAATGCCCGCCGACTATGAGAGCATCCTTGTTACGTCGAGTGGACCTGAGAGGCAATGGTGCAGCGTTATTTCATACACAAACAAATAACAGGACACAAGCCTCGCAAGTATTTATTTTATTCCGAAGGGCAAATTTATTGGGCAGCATCACTCATCCTGCAGGAGAACATTCTGCCAAAGCATTACGTTAATGACCTCCCGAATAGGGAAAAAAAACGCTGGGTTGTTTATCCTGCCACTTGTACCCAAACTGAGCTGGAAGTTATCCGTCTCAAGTGAACAGTGTATCAAACAAAAAGATTAGCATTTACCAATACTTAAAAGAACTATGCCTCATGTCTTCAACGTATGTTTACGCGAAATATTGTCATATTCAATCCCCTAAATCACACAAGCACTTTTACTTCCGTCCTTCACCAAAGAACCAAAAGTCTACGACTCTAGGGCCTAACAGAATGAAGTGTATTAAGCAGAATGCGGGAAAAGGAAAGCGCCCCTCGCGCGCCCACCATTTGTCTTGACAATGCTTTAAAGCAATTCGAAAGAAAAAGGGGGAAAAACTCTGAAAGCCTGAAAGGCGGAAGAAACGATGCAAGATGAATTGAAAGTCCGTTGCAGAAGAAGAAAGAGTATATACAAAGAGAGAAGGGGGGGGGGCGAATGAGAAGACCAGAGCGTGAGAAGCAACTTCCAGTCAGTCCAAACCTGGCCAGTCACTGGATCAGACACTGGTATAGTTGTCAAGCTGAAGACAACAGCTCGTCAAAGAGCAACTTTTAACATTCGCCCTCAACAGAAAAGACACTGATGGGCCTTTCATGTACATAGAAAACTTTACACTTACGTGCGTGTGTGCTTTTGTGTGCGTGTATGTATTTATGTATGTGTGTGCACGCGTATTCACCTAGTTCTTGTGAGGGGGTTTAGCTCTGCTCTTTCAGCCCGCCTCTCAACTGTCAATCAAATCAACTGTTACTAACTACTAATTATTTTCCACGCGCGCACACCCCCAGCAAGCAGCCCGTAACAGCTGTCTAACTCCCAGGTACCTATTTACTGCTAGGGAACAGGAGTATCAGTGAAAGAAACTGAGAATCGAACCCAGGCCACAGGATTACGAGTCCCGCGCACTTTCCACTAGTTGTGGTTGCGGGGGTTGAGCTCTGACTCTTTGGTCCCGCCTCTCAACCGTTAATCAACTGATGTACAGATTCCTGAGCCTACTGGGCTCTATCATATCTACATTTGAAACTGTGTATGGAGTCTGCCTCCACCACGTCATTTCATAGTCCATTCCATTTATTAACTACTCTGACACGAGAGAGT